GTCTTGGCCTAATTCTAGAAGTCAAGAGTCGTGACACCATTATCTTTAGTAAAACAGAAAAATTCAGTGGCTGTCTACCACAAAAAAGTTGACAGTTTAGTTCAATTTTTGAACAACTTACTGAAATGTTTTATCTGTCATATATACATAACTAATCTGTATCATTGACAAAAACAAGTCAGTAGTGGAGTAATAAAATAATATGTCTGTCAAGGTGTCTAACAGAGCTATAGGAATAAAATTAAGTTGTATACTTTGTTTTTCCTTTTGTAGTTTGACTGTATCATATGATACTTCAACATGCTTCTTTAATAATAAATGCTATTAAAATAAAATGGCTGTCAACTTGACTAAATTAGTCCCAAATGATAGCCAATGGAGAACCTTTTAAAACATAAAACACTGACATTGTCTAGGCAATGGAAATTAAACCTATCTTCTTTAATCTAAAATTATGTTTTAGAAATGCCAAAGATGTCTTTAAAATTGGAATTAAAAGGGCAGCCTATGCAAAATGCCCATTTTGAAATTTAGTTTTATAATACTGCTCTGCTGTGAGGCCAGACAGTCAGGAAAAAAAAATCACAGCTACTGATTAACCAACAATAAGAAAGAACCAGTTTCTGGAATGAGGACTTAGCAATGCATCAGAATTGCTGGAGAATGAAAAGTCTCGGAGTGAAACACAAGGAAAAGTTTCCTCCCTGCACTCATGCCCCTGGGCTCATCTTGAGCTCCCTGGCCACGTTGCCCACCAGTCCCAGACAGAGGCCAGGCGGGCGGATGGTTGGGAGAAAGCACTCAGCAGGTTTTCCTGAGCGCTTCCCTTCCCTTTAGGCCTTCACACACACATGCCACTTTCCTGCTTCCCTGAAAATTTCACTGCTCAGTTTAAACATTGCACCGTAATCCCTCTATGGGTGTACATGTCTTCAATATTCATTAACCCCTCCTTTCCTCCACCAACGAAGGCCCTGTTATCCTGGAAAAATCCCCCCTCAGGCTCACCAGACTCAGGAGGTCAACAAACCTGGCAGTGAGGATGAGGCAAGCGTGTCGGGTCTGCGCTTAGCAGTGTGGACACTGTGTGTCCCTTGTGCCCTCCTGCCCTGCATAAGGAAGGACCCAGCAAGGAAGCCCAGGCATCCTGGTCCTGCCTGACACCTGTGTTTGCCAGTTGTCCTGGAAGCGGTGACCTAGGGAAAGGAGGCAGCCGACATCCCCTCTCCCTCGGCCCTCGGGAGGCATCACCAGCTGCAGGTGGTCTGGGCAGGGCAGGGACTTGTCAAGATGAGGGCAGCAGTTTGGTAGTTCTGGGCAGGCTTCCTCCGCTCTCTGTGGCAAGGTGAAACATGCACTCAACAGGAACTGCCAAACACAAGCAGTGGCATCTGATGGGTTTCACATGAGTGAACGCCCTTGTGTGTACATGTAAAATTATCACTGTGCACAGGCAGGGTGGTGGGTCCACTGAGAGCCTGGACTTCTCCACTCACTGCTATGCAGTGCATCTGTGTAACCAGACACCATTTGAATCCCCAAAGCTATTGAAATAAATAAAATACAAAATAAAAATAAATTAATTAAATTAAAAGGTAAATATAAATAAATTAAAAATAAAATTTAAAAGCTATTGAAATAAGTAAAATAAAAATAAATAAAAATAAAACTGTCATTGTCCAATATAGAGGGTAAAATTCATGCCAATAATTTAAAATTTTGTTTTTTCTTTTCTTAGGACATGAAATAGTAAATAAAACACCATGACAAGTTGTAGGAGTTGAGAGGCCAGGCAGGATGGAAGAGACCACAGAAGAAAGAAAAAAGCTTTACATTTCAGTATCTTTAAGGGCAGTTTTTTCCTGTCCTTTGGGCAAGGGCATTGCATTTTCACTTTGCACTGGGCCCTGCTGACTCTGCTGAAGGCTTTGAGGCTGGAACTATGCTATGGTTTACCGTGGCCGAACAGCCTGACATCCATGTTTGTGATATTCCTGAATTATAGGAAAGAAAGATCAAATTGGTGGTTCTCTGAAAACTTGACATTTTTCTTTGCATTCTTGAGAACACTTAAGTAAAATTCATTCTTTCGCAAATGTGAATAACCACAATAATTTTTAAAATTCTATTTATTTCTTTAGTGATTTTGCTTTGTTTTCTCACAAGGATGGCAATCTTATTTCCTTTTCTTGGTCCTCCCTGAAAGGACACTGTCTTTCTGCTGTTCTACGGGGTATGTTGGCAAACACAGAAACCACAATTGCTGTGTGTTTTCTGGGCTGGGGTGGGAACTTGCACACCATCTTCGTCCCCAAGAGAAATGTGTTTTAAGTGCCAAACAACTGACTTACAAACTTACAAGCTCTCTGATTTTAGTTTATCTTTTCTTTGGTTGAAATACAGTGCTCCAGACACTGAGTTTGCTCAAGATTGAAACGATTCATGTTCGTTCATGTTATTTAGTCAGCTTTGAGAGCTTGGTGTACTGGCTTGCCTCTGGTGGGTCCTGAAATGTGGTTGAGAAAAAGCCAGACAGATGGGCAGGAAGCAGGCAGATGGGAGAAGGAAGGATTCAGGTTAGGCATCCAGATTCAGATGTGTCCTGCTCATGTCCTTGCTTCCCCTGTGACTTCAGGGAATATCTGCTAGTCATTTACCTCCTAGAAACCACCAGTGCTGAAACATTTTCTCTGCGATTCCCTTATGAGAAAAGAGAAGTTCCAAATACTACTCATCTCTAAGAATCTTATTTGCCTTCAGTCACTAGGAGGAGTTAGGGATTTTAATTTTAAAAGAAGAAAGACAGAAAAATGAAAAGAATTCCTCTGGTTGCAGCGTCAGCTGTGGTCACATTTGATAATCATTCTTTTTTTTTTTTTTTTTTTTTGAGTTGGAGTCTCACTTGGTCACCCATACTGGAGTGTAGTAGCCGCTCCCGGCCACCGCAGCCTCGACCTGCTGGGCTCCGGCAATCCTTCCGCCTCAGTCTTCCGAGTAGACGGAATTACAGGCAAGTGCTACCACGCCCAGCTAATTTTTTGATTTATTGTAGAGATGAGGTCTCGCTGCCCAGGCGGGTCTCGAACCCGTGGGCTCAGGCAATCCACTCACCTCAGACTCCCAAAGGCGCGGGATTACAGACTAAGCCACCGAGCCCGGCTTAATAATCATTCTTTTGTGTGTGATAGTCATCTTTCCTGCCTCATCTTCTGAGGACATTTGAGAAATGAACTTCACAGGTTTGGAGAATGGTGGCTGACTATCTATGAAGACTGTTTGTTGTGAGAAATCTGTTGGACTAAGCTGCTCCCATCCTGAGTGACCAGCACCACCCACCCCGACCAGCTCTAGACCACTGTGGGCACCATGTGTCCCTGTCCCCCATGCAGGCTGATGAGGCACGTAGGGGTCACAGCCTCGGTCCCACCCACAAATCTCTGCTCTTTCTAGAAGCGCAGTGTGTGTCCATGGGGCTCCCACTCAGACCCACGCCTACCTGGCTGCTTGGGTCTCATCGGGGTCCTGCCCTCCCATATGTTCCCTATCCTCCAGGGTGTCCTCTCCTGGGTGTCCCTTGTCCTCTATGGGGTCCCCTCCTGGGTGTTCCCCATTCCTCTGGGGTGTCCCCTGTCCTCTAGGGTGTCATTTCCCAGGTTTCTCGTCCTCAAAGGAACCCCCTGCCCTCTAGTGTGTCCCCCTCTCAGGTGTCTCTTGTCCTCTAGGGTGTCCCTTGCCTTCTAGGATGTCATCTCCCATGTGTCTTCTGACCCACCAGGTGCCCCCTTGTCAACTAGGGTGTCCCCTCATGGGTGTCCCCTGCCCTTCCGGATGTCCTGTCCTCTAGGATGTCCCCTGTCCTCTAGGGTGTCCCTTGTCCTCCATAGTGTCATCTCCCAAGTGTCCCCTATCTGCTAGGGTGTCATCTCCCAGGTGTCCTCTGACCTCCCTGGTGTCCCTTGTCATCTAGGGTGTCTCCTTTTGGGTGTTCCCTGTCCTCTAGGGTGTCCCCTGTCCTTTAGGATATCATCTCCCATGCGTTTTGTGTCCTCCCAGGTGTTTCTTGTCATCTAGGGTGTCCCCTCCCAGGTGTCCCTGTCCTCTAGGGTGTCACTTGTCCTCTAGGGTGTCATCTCCCAGGTGTCCTCTGACCTCCCTGGTGTCCCTTGATGTCTAGGGTGTCCCCTCCTGGATGTCCCCTGCCCTTCCGGGTGTCCCCTGTCATCTCCCATATGTCCTCTGTCCTCCTGGGTGTTCCTTGTCATCTAGATGTCCTCTCCCGGATGTCCCCTGTTCTCCTTGGTGTCCCTTGTTGTTTCAGGTGTCCCCTCTCGGGTGTCCCCTGACCTCTAGGATGTCATCTCCCATGTGTCCTCTGCCCTCCTGGGTGTTCCTTTTCATCTAGGGTGTACCCTCCCAGGTGTTCCGTGCCCTCCCTGGTGTCCCTTGCCGTCTAGGGTGTCCTCTCCCGGGTGTTCCCTGCCCTCCCAGGTGTTCCTTGTCCTCTAGGGTGTCCTCTTCCAGGGGCTCCCTGCCCTCCCAGCGTGACAGGGACGAGTCGTTACTTCCGCAGGCTCGGACGACGTGTCTATGAAGTGAGACATCGCACCCAGCTTCTTCCAATTTCCCCTGGGACATCTCGGGGTGAGAGGGAGCACGAAGCTCAAGGTCCGGGAGTGGCAGAGCTCCTGGGTAACACCTGGCAACCGCACACTGAGGGCGGGGTCGGGACTCGCGAGGTAGAAGCCCACGCGCTCCAGCACCACGTTGTCCTCTCCCGGAGCCCCGCCCTCTCCCGGAGCCTCGGCCCCGCAGCGCTGTGCCACGGCGAGGAACTACATTTCTCAGATTGCAGTTCGGCCTCTGAGAACGCACACCAGACGGCAAACTACATTTCCCAGAATGCCATTCGCCCTCCGCGCGACGCCGGCAAGTGCGGGATGACGCCATCAGCCCGCGCGGAGTTCAGACTCCACTGATGTCGTGGCGCTTAGGGGAAAGAAGTTGGGGATCCACGGCGCCCCGGGACTGAAGACGCGGTCCGGTGGCCCTTGTCCTTGCCCAGATCCCCGCCCTTCAGCCTTTCCTTTCTCCCCGCAGGATGAGGCGTGCAGGCCTGGGTGAGAGGAGGCCGGGGCTCCAAGATCGGGCGCGGGAGGGAATGGGTCTTGGGGGCTCTCCGGGGACCGTGCCCACGGGTGTCTGGAGCCCTCCGGGGGGGGG